CTTCTGAGTCACCGAAGAAGACAGAGAATTGTGGTCAATCTGAAAGTGGAAGACCCTGGCAAAGTTTAGAATACAAAAGAAATATTCCTGTCTTCATACGTCTCAGTAAGAATCTAAAACTCTGTTCTCAGCAATCCTTAGGGCTGTTAGCTCTTAGGAGGAGGAGAATGACCTATTTCAAGGATGACATATATAGTATGACATGTTGCTCTTTTGGAAGAGGAAAATATAATTAAAAAAATCAACCATTCAGGCTCTGCGCCTGTGGCTCAAGTGGCTAAGGTGCCAGCAACATACACCTAAGGTGATGGGTTCGAATCCAGCCCGGGCCGCCAAACAACAATGATGGCTGCAACCAAAGAAAATAGCCAGGCATTGTAGTGGAAGCCTGTGATCCCAGCCACTTGGGAGGCGGAGGCAGGAGATTTGCTTGAGCTCAGGAGTTGGAGGTTGCTGTGAGCTGTGATGTCACAGCACTGTAGCCAGGGGGACAGCTTGAGGCTCTATCTCAAAAAAAAAAAAAAAAATCAACCATTCAACATAATTAGGAATTTCCAGCTTGGTGCCTGTGGCTCAAGTGGCTAAGGCGCCAGCCACATACACCTAAGGTGGCAGGTTCGAATCCGGCCTGCCTGCCAAATAACAATGACGACTGCAACCAAAAAATAGGCGTTGTGGCGGGTGCCTGTGGCCCCAGCTACTTGGGAGGCTGAGGCAGGAGACTCCCTTGAGCCCAGGAGTTGGAGCTTGCTGTGAGCTTTGATGCCACAGCACTCTACCCAGGGGAATAGCTTGAGGCTCTGTCTCAAAAAAAATAATAATAATAAAATAAAATAAAATAAAAAAAGAAATTTCCCCTCTAATGATTTGGGACATAACATATTTATCTGAAATTCTCTTTTAGGGGGTCTTTAGTTGACCTAAACCCATTCATTCACTTGCTCAACAAACATTTATTGAGCACCTACTATGCACTGGGCACCAGGGATATAACCCTGTTCTCACACAGGTCACATCCTGCTAGGGAAGACACAGCAAAGAAACAAAGAAAAAAAGAAGTGTGTGTCTAAAGAAAAACAAAACAGGGTAAGAAGATGAGGAATGGTAGGGATGATATTTTTTGGAGGATGGTCACATGAGGGTAGTGAACTTAGCTGATATTTGAGCGAAACCTGAAGTGAAGGAATCACTCTGGTGACAACATGGAAGAACAGGTCCCTGCTAGAAGCAAACACAAAGTCCCTGAAGGAGAAACCTGCGAGGCTTGTTTAAAGAACACCAAGAAGGCTTGCACAGTGTGAGGAAGGGGAAGGTTGGTGGTTCAGATGGTTGCCAAATATCCAGAGCCTAACAGGGCAAGGAAGAGACTTTGAAGTGTGTTGGAGGATTCCAAGCAGGGGAATAATCTGCTGTGATTTACACAAAGGATTATCTAGTTGCTACGTATATCACAGACTTTAAACAATAAAGTCTCCTTAGGAGAGTATTGCAGTTATCTAGACAAGAGCCGTGGAGGTGCTGGGAAGTGATCAGACATATTTTGAATGTAAAGCCAGCATGCCCTGTTTAAACATTGAATATTTGGGGTGAAAGGAAGTGATGATTATCCTAAGATTTTGGGCCTGAGCATCTAGATTCTAGAACAAAAAATATGGCATTTATTGAAATGGTGATGACTATAGAACAAGCAGATTTAAGAGGGTGCGTGTGTGAATCAAATATCATTTTGAACAAGAAACCTATTAAAACATCCACATGCCTGATTGCACCCGCCACAAAGTAGATACTCAATATTTACTGAGTGGAAAACATTAAGATATGGACTAAAGCAATTGGGTAAAAAATATTCAAGTATATCTACTACGAACTTCTATATCTATCTAAGTATATTTACCTTTATGTTTTGAAATCATAAGGATTCATTAGAATCCTTTGCTTTTTGGTCTTAGATGAGATACTGGAGATCATCAACTCATACATTATGAAGAAAGTTAAGGACCAGAGATTAAAGTTGAGCACCCCATTCACGGTACAGGCAGAAACCATCATCAGGCCTCCTGATTCTCAGGCCATTGTTTCACATTACACCAAACTCTCCTTGCTTCACAGCATGTTACTGTTAAGTTTATAGCATCCAGTGTATTATTCTTTTCACGGGAATATATTTAAAGGGCCTGCTTACCGAAACTGGCTATATGGAATCCATTTCCCAAACCAGTAAATGCAAGAGAAAACTGCCATGTGATGTAGTCATCAGGTTTAATTATCTGGTAACAAGTCCAGTCATGTCAGAAACAGCAATGACATTTCAAAATGCATTATATAAACAACACATATATTACTAAATAATACATATCATTGTAGGTTAGCAAACAAAGACATACTTTGACAAGGTCTGCTCAGCCAGGAATATACTTACAGTTAACTAGCTACTTATAACACACTCAATGTGTTTTTTGTAATGAATAAAACTCTACCTGGTTCTTGGTCTTGTCAGACTTAGATTCTATTTAACTTTCAACAAACCAAGTATTCAATGTCCTCTGGGGCAGATACAATACTAGATATGGTAAGCAAACACAAATGCTTCCTTTTAATCAAGTACACAGATAAAAGCAAACAAAAAAGAATCCTCAGGCAGCGCCTGTGGCTCAAAAGGGTAGGGCACTGGCCCCATATGCTGGAGGGTGGCTGGTTCAAACCCAGCCCCGCCAAAA